TATAGTTGTAGCTGTTGATGCTATCAAAGCTGCTAGTGCTAAACATAATTTCTTATCAGTCACAAAACAGGGAATAAACGCAATAGTGGCAACAGAGGTAAGCTCTACAATAAAAACAAAAAGATTGACAAAATATAACTATTCATTAAATAACCAAATAAATTAATAAATTAGGGAAATGATTGTTGTCATGTAATTTTAAGAGGTGGTGCACTTGGACCTAATTATTCATCCGAGAATGTAAAAAATGTTGTATCTAAATTAGAAGCTGCAAAACTTGCTGCACGTGTAATGATCGACTGCAGTCATGGCAATAGTCAAAAGGTGTTCGGCAAACAAGTAGATGTAGCTAAAGACATTGTGAGTATTGAATGAATATTCTCTTGTCATTGTGAATTAATTAATTAATGAATGAATTTATTGATTAATTTTTGTAGGTTGAACAACTTAAAAATTCACATACAGGATTCAATATAATGAGTGTAATGATTGAAAGTAACTTGGTAGAAGGTAGCTGTTAAATATTTTTATTTTTATTTATTTTATGATTATTATTATAATAATCCAATAACATGATGGCTTACAATAATGATAATAATAATAATTAGGACGTCAAGACCTTCCACCAGATGGAGATGCAAATCTTATTTATGGTCAATCAATAACAGATGCATGTATTGGTTGGGAAACTACAGTTCAAGTTTTGGATCTATTACGTGAAGGTGTTTGTGCTAGAAGGGCACGTAATGGTAAAGCTGTAAATGGAATAGCTAAAACTTAATAATTAATTAAATATTAAAATTTTCTTTTTCGATAATATAATTAATCATCAAACAATTTAATTTGTAATTTTTATTTTTTTTATTAAAAATACAATTTTATTTTTCCATATTTTATACGCGATAAACAAGTGTTTTTGCATTTATGTGATAAACAAATTTTGTTAAAGTATTTAAATAGTAATAAAAATGTGTGTTAAAATTTAAATAACAATTAAGAACATAGTTTAGAAGTTCTTGGGTTGAATGAAACTTGGTTCGACATTTTGAGTATTTTATTTAATCATTTTTGAAACTCGATATTTTTCATTATTATTAATAAAAACTAGAATTCATTTTTTTTATTAAGCAAATATTACAACATATATTATAGATTAAATATTACATAAAAAACTTAATTTTGGTTAGCAAGTTTCAGTGGGTTTTATACTAAATATTTCATTTTTTTATACACTTAATGTTCTAACATCACGAACAGTATCTATCTTCTTTGTTTTGTATTATATCCCACTTTATAAGAGTTCCATTCAGCAGGAAATACAGTAACAAGAAAAAAATGTCAGTTCTTCGACTTTGTAGTTTGAGGAAATAATAAAAAGAGCAAGTAAAGCTTTTGTGATAGGAAAATTTAATTAAATCTGACACCTATGATCAACATCAGATTTATTATTCATGAGCAACTATAATTGTAATCAGGAAAAGTAATTTATTTTGTGAACCCCAGAGATCTGGGTAGATACGCATTATTATTAAAGTTTCATTTTTGCATGGCCTTGTTATTATTACTATTTGGGTGATGCAATTGTTTGTTATGTAATGATGATACCAAATGTATCACATAATAATCATAACCATCATGAATATTCAATGGATGGAGGCATTCATATACAAGGAAATGAAGGAAATGATTAAATAACCAAGTCATGTTTGTTTTGTTAAAAACACAATCAATTATATTTAAAATATACAATAAAACAATTGCAAGGCTGCATCACTATGTCAATCAAGCTATCAAGCTGTTATGTTTGTGCATGATTTAAAATTCTTTTGTGCTAATTTAAGGTCCCAT